GGAATGAAAGACATCTGAAAATCTTAAAAACATAGATGGGATGGATTTTACAAGAAAGCTGACAGAGGAAAAAATTAAGTGTTTGAAACATGGTGCTGGAGAAGAGCTTTGTGAATATGCTGGACTGACAGAAAGAGGAACAAGTGGGTTCTGGATCAAATCAAGCCAGAGCTTTCTTTGGAAGCAAAAAATTGCCATTCTTTGGGCACATCATGAGAATGCAAGGCTGCCTGGAGACACAATAATGCTAAGAAAAGTCAAAGGCAGAAGAACAGAAAGACCAAATAGGAGATGAATGGACTCCATGAAAGAAAGCACGGCCTTGAATTTACAATAGCTGAACAGGGCTGTGAAGGACAAGACTTTTTGGAGGACATTCATTCATAGGATTGTCATAAGTCAGGGATAACATGGTGGCACGTACCAACACCAACAAATCCTCTAGCCCCAAATGTTCTGTCACAGAGAAAGGCAGGCATGTGCAGCAATAAGAACAAGGACTCCAAGAACAATCTTCAAGAAGAAACATCAATGAAGCCAAACTGCCTCTTTTTACATTTCAACACTAATTTTCAAAATAAAGCAAGACATATAAGATCCAGATGGTGACAGCAACTCCCAGTGCTCACTCGGGAAGATCAATGAATTCCCCACTGGACATACCTCCCTTGGCTTTCCTCTAATGGCAGTTCCTCAGAAAATATCTGCTGAATTGTCACCCCATTTGGGTGGTTCAGTGGCAGTGTGCAGGGAAAGCTGCATCTTCACTGTACAAGTTGCTTGAATGCAAATGTGGCCTCCCCCGGGGGCCCTCTGAGAATGCAGCTATGCATTCAAACAAGGCCTACATTCCTTGGTGACGGGGAGTGTAGGCCGCAATGCATTCCAGGGGATATGAAATGGCTTCTAGTCCCTCAGATGGTGCCCACCTCTGGTGTAACATGGGAGGAAGGGCTTTCTCAAGCACGAGAGATCAAAGCAGAGGGCACATGAAAGACTCTCTTGATGTGCAGTACAGCACAAACTTTCGACTGCTGTTGACACAAGTCAGCGCTTCAGGTCAGTTGCTAAATGCGCATGCCACTGAGCAAATATACCATATACAATGACCCTGGTGTGGTATCGTTGCTGTGCTGTTGAACAAGTAGCACATTTCTTTCTTTCTTTTTTAAAGAGCAATACATTTTTGAGACTATTTTGGGAGGCAATTTCCCAGGCTTGGAGCTGCCAAATCCCCGTGTGAATTCATACCTGTCCGAAACATGTTTTTATCCCACAGTGTATTCTCCAAATTCATTCCCTTACATTTCTGGAAAACAACGTGTACAGTGGAGATTTCCAATGTGTGTGTTCATGTATTTTTCACAGCTTTAATATACAAGAGCGCTACAAGCAAATGTACATTTATCTAGCTGGTGCTAGAACAGTAAAATAGCTTCAACCACCCACACTTTGATATTATTAAACAATACAGTGATGCATAAGTAACAAAGGGAATCTAAATACTCTTGGGGAAACTGCATATTACATGCAATAGCATGCAATGCAATGCAGGAAAGCCATTTTTCTAAAGGAATGCAGAACCGTTTTGATCAAAGGAGCAAGAAGCAGGAAGATTAAGCCCTTTTGTTATTCTAGATTCCCACACACAGAGACTGCTGTCTGCCATTCTCTGGCTTGCCTACCTTTGAGACCGCAGGAAGGAAACAACAGCTTTGGGATGGTTCAGAGAAGGAAAATGGCTGTCAGGGAAAGATTTAGCACCTGCAACTTTTCACAGATACTGTTCTTCAGGAATAGCACCCCCTGTGGTTGTGTTATAGATCTCTGTGTGTAATGTGCATTTTGCCCCTGGCTGAGGTTGCATGCACATGACCAATATCCTAGGCTTTAGAGGCAGGTCAGTCACCCCCAGAGGCAAACACAGTCAAATGAGGCAAAACCTGGACTGGTGCAGTTTTGGGATATCTGCAGCTTTGTACCTTTTCTGGCTTTTCCTTTTTTTTAGAAAAACAAAATACTAATTTATTCATTTCTACCTGAAACAGAGCAGATGGAAATCCCCAAAAGAATCCCCTGTAGATGTCGGTTGTGTGTTTCCTTTTGCTTGCTGCTGACACTCCCTTGCCTCTGGCTGCAACTTGGCTTGGGACCATTTGGGCCGGCCCTGATTCCTCACTGGCTCATGCTGAGGCAGCTGCCAACCGCCACCTGGCATTCTCTGCATCTCAGGGCAAAAACAGAGTGCTATGCAGCCCCTGGTCTCCGCTTTGAATGGGCTGTGTGGTGTGGCTGATTATGGAGGGCCGCAGCCACCTGTGGACTTGCTGGGCTAGTTAAGGCTACTGAGGTATCACTCCTCACAGTCAGAACTGCCATATCAGACAAGCTGAACCATTGATCTGACCGTTAAGTGTTTTCTGATTCCATGATCGTGGGAACACCACTCATCACTGGCGACATTCCAGAACGTTTGCAACAGCTTCACCACTGCATGGGCTGTCTGTCTTGGGGTATCTTCTGACTCATCTTGGTTGCTGAATAGTGTCATTCACCTATATCCTCTCCATGCCATGTGGGCGACATTGAGCCCTCCAGGCCAAGAGCACCTTCCTACACCAAATGTGTGGATGCATAAGGAGCCATGTGCTCTCCTCCCACATGTGTGGGATTCCCAAATTAGCCAGAGCAAATTGGAAGGACATAAACAGCAACAGCACCCGTGCCATTGAGGCGGAGTCTGTCAGAAGGGGCCCTGGACCCACTCTTACAAAACTTTGTATGGGTCTTGCAGAAATCACAGACTAAGGCCTACCATTGCCCAGTGGGGAATCGCACCAACTCGGATTGAGGGTTTCCATCTCCCATAGATGACCCTTTGCACCAATTCTTAAGTACAAAAAGCCACAAATGCCCAAACTGCAAGCAGCATGCGGAAGGGAAAATAAAGATTCTTCCTCTGATTGTTGTCCAGCAGAGACTCTACTGAGGAATGCTCAACCTTGTGGGTCCTGCACTGGACAGGGGTTTGGACTAGATGACCTCAAGGTCCCATCCACCCTATGAGTCTGTGCATTTCAAGCTGCACACCGGTAATTGTGGTTCTGGCTGGACTCCCCATTTGTGGAAAGCAAGCAAACTGGCTGGGAATGATGGGAGTTGCAGTCCACCTCATCTGAAGGACACCAGGTTGGGGCAGGCTGTCCTGGGCCCCTCGCTCCCATGCCTGTTCATTTCCAGTGCATTTCTTAGTCAGCAGGAGCATACAGCATGAAGACACCAACCCAGACTAGTGTTGTGATTAGAGCATTGGATCGGGTTCGGTTAGGCAATCTGGCTTCTACTCTCCACTCATCCACAAAGTGCACTGGTGGCTTTGGCCCAGTCACTGTCTCTCGGCTTAACCTACTTTACAGGAACTGCGAGGATATAATTGAAAGGAGGAGGATTGTGTTCCCCTTGAAAGGAAGACAAGCGAGACATAAATAAAATCCCAGAGGCAGATGCGGTTAATGCAGAGAAAATGCAGCTTCAAGATTTGGCCCTGACATGTTAAGGCAGAGAAAGGCTGAAATTGAGGGTGGGGGGTCATTTTTGGAACCTCTAACCAGCTGTTAGCCTGTGGAATCATTCTCCCTCCTTCTTCCACCACTGGCAGGTATTTAAAAAAGTGAGTTCAGGTTGAGGGAAGTCAAGTGCAGTTAAAGCAGGGGTCTCAAACTCAACTGACCTGGGGGCTGCTGGAAGTAGAGTCTGGGTGAGGCTGGGCCGCCTCAAGTATTCCACCAAGTGGTGGGCCGCTCATCCCGCGTCGCTCCCGGAGGCCGGCCCGGGCGCTGCTGGTGCTTTGAAGGCCACAGGGCCCCTCCCCCGTGCCCCCCCATCCCGGCAAGTGGCCCGCGGGCCGCGAGTTTGAGACCCCTGAGTTAAATAGTATTGGGACCATTCAAAGGAGTCATGATTAGGCAGCATTGTGCTGGTCGGTAGTATGTCCCTTCCAGAGGCACTGGCAATGGAGAAGACCCTGGAAGAGCTAGCTAGCTTGCTAAGAGCAGTCTCGCCAGAATCCCCATTCTCAGTTGGCCATTGAGCCTGCTGTGCAGATTGCTGCATCAGCGTCTTCCCAAACACCAGCACGTGGGTCCTCCATCGTTGCTCTAGTCCTAAGCATTCTGGAAGAGGCTTCCGTGCTCATTGTCCATGTCCCGTGTTGCTTCTGAAAAGAGACTGACTCATAGCCCTCCCTTGTCTCTGAACACCTGATGATAAGGAAGTAGTTAATGGTATTGAAGAAGCGCTGGATGAGGAGGTTCTGAAGGCTGCTTATTGTTAGTGTGCCTTTAATCTTTTAAATCAATGAGGTAATAATACCACTGCAAGTTTCTCTCTGAATGAATCTTGATAATGTATAGCCTGTTCATATTTTAAGTATTTTGCTGACACACTCCTAATAGGTTGCTTCAAAACATTGACATGACTTATGAAGAAATGTATGTAAATGAGCTGCAGTTGGAATATAATGAATAGGGTTGCCCCATCAAGTACCAAAATGTACTTTACATATAAAGCAGGACAGGTTTTTTCAGCCTCCCAGAGCATCGTACATTGAATCATTTTCTTCTTCTTCTTTTAACACCTTTAATATTTAAATAGGGGAGGGGGAATACAGTTTAGAGTTACCCTACAAACTGAAGCAGTATAACTTTTAAAAACAGACAAAAAAGAAAATATAGTTAAGACAAACTGCAATCTTGTATCCATATAGCTAGAAGTAAAACCCATTGAACTCAGTGAGTTTAAGTTTTGAACAGACACCTATAAAGTTGCATTATAAGAGAAAGAAAACTTTTATTGCATTTTTGCATTTATTTCCAAATGCATTATAGATGAAATGAAAAATTAACGGACACACAAACACCACAGCAGTCTTTCCCCCCTGAAAACAAACAGAAATGTTATTCATTACATTGACTAACTAATTGTATCTGTTACCCCACCAGGCTCTGGAAGAATCAGAGGCTTGCAGGATACCCGGCGGCTTAGCAAGTGTGAAGCATCAATTTGAAAAAGGAGTATCCACCTCATCACAGAATACTCAGTACCAGTATCAGCATAAATCTGTACAGGTAATAGTAGTAGTAGCAGCAGTAGTAATACTAACTGACCTTCTTGGTAACCGTTGCATAAAACACTTCTGAAGCTGTGCATGTCATCCAATTACACTGATAGGTGATTGGCATGTTGATTTTTAAAGGCATGCAAATATCTCGCGGGTCCTTCCTGGGATACAAGCGTAGTTTGAGGGCTGCAATGACAGCATTCAGTTCTGGAAAAGGATGTGAGTGGAGACATTGGAGTGTCCACTTGGCTTTGAATAAACATGAGGCACTTCCCCAGCAGGCCATTTTCCTGGATGTGCCTGCATAATAATCTTTTGCAAGGCTATTGAATCACAAGGCACCCAACAGCACCACCACCAATTACTGGCCAGATTACTCATAGCGCAAGAGTGAGCCAAACTTCTATCTGATCTCCAGCCCAGGATATATGAAAATATAAGACACATCTTTGGGGCTATAATTCATTTTAAATAATCTGCAAGTGTTTTGCACACATATATGTGTGTGTGTATATATATTTCTTGAAGCTATGCTAAGCAATTCTCTTTGGGAAACAGTTTGCTGTTTTCTTTGTGTTTAAATTTAATCGGCTTCTCTAAACAGATCAAAAATGGTACAGAAGAACCAGATGCTATACCAGGCTCAATAAATGTAGCTTCCAAATGTTGGTTTAGATAAGAGGTTTATGTATTTTATTACTTCATTATCATATTTCATGAAGAAAAAAAATTGTTGCAACCAAGTTAATGATTTCTGGAATATGGAAAGGATGGTATAATGAAACTCATTCTACTATCTGTGTTCTTTTCATTTTGAAAAATAGTAATGGCTTGATAAACAGCCACATTTACTCTAATGCTCAGTGCTCATCTATGAAACAGCCAAATGATGTTAGTCTGAAACTCAGTAGCACCAATAAATAAAACTGAACAGTCTCCGGGTACTTAAATCAAGGTCACCCATAGCCAAGGTCACTGTCAATTATGCCATTCAGCTATCAAAGCGCACAGTCAGAGTGAACTGCTGTTTGGTGTCAACTTGAACAGGTTTTATTTGCATTAAAAATACCCCCCTTCTCTTTTCAGGAACATTCAAATAATTAAGAGCATGACATGAAAAACACTTTGGTTCTAATGGGGGAGGAACAGGTCACTGATATCACAGGTTTTTCATGTATGATTAACTCATGTGTCTCACGATCTGTGATGGGAAATACTTCATTTCCCCTACTGCATAGAGAAACTATATCATGTTTCAGGAGTTGCAGGGTCAGATTTCAACTATAGGGAGACAAGACTCAGATCAAGGCTCTAAAGTCTGCTCTTGCATGCATTCCTAAAAGGTTGCTTATAAAATACAGGGTGAAATAACTTGAAAGTACTAAAAGTAGCTCAGAATCCTGACTAGAAACGCAGAGCAAATCCATCATACCGTAGGGGTGAGTGTGTACCAAAAACAAATAGACTTTTGCTCTTGGAGGAGGTGACTTTTGGTAGGTAGTTAGTTAGTTAGTTAGTTAGTTAGTTAGTTATTTATTTATTTAAACATTTTTATGCCGCCCCATTCGCCGAAGCCTCGGGGCGGCTTACAACAAATTAGTTCCTTTTCCCTCTTGCTGTACTTCCAGAAAAGTTATACTCAGTGGTTGGGGAGCCCCCTGGATTACTGTGGGTGGTGGTGCTAGAATGGAAAGGGACCATCAGGAAAACCCATCGCCCCACACTTCCTCCACCAGGAGTCTATGCTGGATTGAGGTCCCATCTGCAAGCAGAAGGCATCTTTGCATTTACAGAAAGGCACATCTGTACATCTTAAAGGAATCTTTTCCAGTATTTTACACTGTTTTCTTAATCATTTATTGATGCTCCCTATGGGACTACATAGTATTCATGATGCAAGTTGCATTAAAAATCACATCCCTGAGTCAGATTCCTGGAGTCTGGTCTGAAGAGTCGCGGGGCAGGCCCCACGCAGCAGCAGCTGGAGATACAGATTGTGGGCAGGGGGTGCTCACCGCAGTGCCATAGCCCTCCCTCTGTATGAAAGGGGGAGATCCAGTGGTAGGGTGCCACTGAGAGCCAGTGTGGTGTAGTGGTTAAAAGCATGGGGCTGGGACTCAAAGGATCTGGGTTCTAGTCCCCGTTCAGCCATGGAGCCAACTGGGTGACTTTGGGCCAGTCAGACTCTCAGCCCAACCTACCTCACAGGGTTGTTGTTGTGGGGATAAGCTGGAGGAGGAGAGATGATGTAAGCTACCTTGAGCCCTTTGTAGGAAAAAGGCAGGATATAAATCGCAATATAAATATATATATATATATATATATATATATATATATAAATATTTGGAGGGTAGCCCCCTGCTGTAACAATGTTCAAGTCCTCCCTGAACTTCTCTATGTTAGCCCATTTTCAGTGTTAAATATAAGCTCCAAAGCAGGGGAAAGTGACTAATACCAAGTTCTCTGGGTGGATCCCTGTGCTCAAGGCATGGTTCGCATTTCCGAGCACAGATCACTTTGAACATATGGAAATAAGCAGTGCTCATTCTGACAACAGGGGCTGCTGGTTTGAGAGTTAGGGGACTTGCTTTCCGTCAGGCTGGCCATGCTGAGCATTTCATCAGCGCTTCAGGTGTACTCTGCACTCTACCAAAGCTGCCTCTGAAACAGCTATATTTGTTCCATTTAGTAATGTTCAGTTATGAATTTAGTAACTACATCGCTTTACTGTCCGATCGCTGGATGTCTCCAGGCAGTTCCCAAAATGGAGGTTTGAAACCTTAATGAATAAGGATAAAACATAACATAGGATTTAAAACGGGAGCCTCATCCACAAGGATCCATCCCTCTCGTTCTCTGTAGAGCCTTCTGAGTCAGCCTGGGTGGGGAAAGGCAGAATGACTTCCAGCAACTCACTCTGCAGTTTCCCAGGAAGACGCCAAGGACCTGCCCTGCAGCTGGAGCAGGCTGCTGGTCCTCACTGAACTCTTGTGGCTCTCACAAAACCACTCCCAGCTTGTCACAGCCTAAGGTCCCTTTCAGAGAAAAGGCCTTAGGATGGAGGCATAGCTGAAGGCCTGAAAGGCCTTCCTGGGAGAAATGCCTTGCCCCCAACTCTGAACCTTCCCAAAACTCCAGTCCATGGTGGAACGCCGTAACACACGCCTCATCACCTCTCAGCAGCAACCAGCCCTCATCCTGATGAAGGCAGAACAGAACAAAGAGCCACAGAATCAAAGCAGTGTAAAATTAACGGAAGAGGACAGCAGTTGTGCAAGGATTTAGACGTCATCCATATACAGTATATTCAAATAAAGGTATATAAATGGAAAATTAAAGGGCTTTCATCTGGCACCAAAAAGATCGCAACATGGCAAGTACCAGGAGAGCCTCTCTCAGTGGGACTTGCACAACTGGAGTTGCCCCCCATGAAAAGGCAGACATCCCATTCAGCGCCCGTTAAGCCTAGACCAGGGCCGTGATGGTTTTCTTTTCGGAATGAATGCACACGATAAATGTTCTGAACTGTCTCTGACAACGGGTCATTATCTGGGGCTGAAGGCCTGACCAGATGAGAATAGAGGTAGCCCTTTCATTAACAAGCATGTTGTTCGAAATTTCAGGTAGGCACATTCTGTTGAAACATGAGGGAGAGAAATGTGAAGTTAGAAGCCAGAACTCTTCTAAATGATATGATGCACAAAAGGCCTATATTTAAGCAATTTACATATACATTTGCCTCAGAGCAGCAGTTTCATTTCTGCAGCCAGAAACTCCTGTCAGCTGTGATAATTCAGTGAACCATACTGACAGCACTTGATCGCATGGTACAACATTTTATTGGTGTGAATTTAACATGGCTCAGCAGAAAAACCAGGAGTGAGTTATAGAGGTCATCTCAAACAAGTGCCAATAAATTCTTTATACTAGTCTTTTAGAGTGTGTTAAATACGTTTGTATTGATACTGGGTTTTATCCTCAGGGTCTCTGTGCTATGCTAGCAGTTTCCTGACCTCTCCAGACTTGTCTGAAGCACCTTACACCTTGTACCTAATTAAAGATTGCTTCCCACAATGCTATTTGGCAGGGCCACCTGGAAGGCTTGGGTGGCTAGGGACAGGGGAGGTGCTGGGAGTCTTTCTGCTGCTCCCCTGTGTGTTTGTGTGTGAGTGTGTGGGTGTGTTTGTGGGTGGGTGCTGAACAGCAGACAGGCGGGGCAGGAGCCAAAGGCATGTACAGGAGCTGGCTTGGTGGGTCGGGAGAGAAGATGGTCTCCGTTGCCCCCTTCAGGCAGACCTATGCTTTGCAGCTTAGCTTTCCACTTAGAGACACATTTGGGGAAACTGATACAAACTGAAAACGCCCAATGCAACACTTGCACCCATATTCTCAAATGGCAAAGGATCCCATTTTGTCCAGAAGAAATCGATCTAATATATATATATATATATATTTGCTTGGACTGGCTGTGAGTTGTTTTTTCTAAACTAAAACCTCAGTATTCAGGTTTTATTGCAGTGTTGGCACTTTGTGATAAATAAGTGGGTTTTGGGTTGCAGTTTGGGCACTCGGTCTCTAAAAGGTTCGCCATCACTGATCTAAATGGATCAGAGTTGATGGGCCCCTTATAAAAGGGTGTTGTGAGGATGGTGGATGAGCACTTCCTAATTTTGTCATTCGTAACATGCATATCCCCCCCTCCCCCCGTTGGCAATTTAGAGCAGGCTAGCTGATGTTGCATTCAGTTAAGACACCAACAGTGGAAGACTTTCTTTTCTACTTACCTTCTTGCAATTAAAGCTTGATTCTTATATGTTCAGGATCAAAGCACCAGCAACTCTACTAGAACAAACCAGTTAAAATAGGTGATAAGGTCAAATCTTGTAATTCATTGGCCCTTATCTTGAGTCCAGGCTGTCCATAGCTGAGTTTGAACCCTGAGTTTGTTTTACAGGCATTGCAACATCTTCATAATTTATATGGAGATTTATTACAAGTTAATGTCTT